ATCTAAAAAATAATTTTAAAGATTTTATATATTTATATAAAATTATATGAATTCTTTTTAATTAATTAAAAAAAAATTTTTGTTTATAGTTTCATATTAAATTTAGAAACCTTAAAAGAAAATAATTTAATATATATTAAATTTTCATATTAAATATATGTATATATTTATATAATATTTTCAATTTAATTTTTTTTTAATTTAAATTTAAATAATTTTATAATAATGATTAAATTTAAAAATATTTTTTTCCTTTTTTTAGCATTTTTTCTTTTTTTTTTTTTTTTTATATGTATCTTAATGTAATATATATATTATGGTAACAAATTACATTTTTACTATCATTTTAACATCATATATCAATATTTATATTTATTGTTGTTGTAGAATATTTTACAATTATTTTTATGTAAATATATTAATCATATAGCAAATTAATTAATAAAAATATTTTGTAAATTTAATTTATTTTTCAAAACGTTTTAACATAAATTAATTGCTTCATAATATTAAAAATATATTTATTGTTAAAATATTTAAGTTTTAAATATATGTATAGGTTTAAAAAATGTGATATATTATGTAAATATCAAAAATTTGTATTCATAAAAGATATACAAATATTTACTAAACATTATTTTTTTTAAGTTTATTCAAAAATATGAAATATATTCAAATATATTACAGTTTGTACATGTATGACAAATCGATAAAAATTAAATTGATTTTTTTACTAATAATTTTACAAATAAATTCTAGATTAAAAATTATAATATTAAAAGTTAAAATCTATACTTATGATTTTCAAGAAACATATTTTACAGAATTCATTATAAATAAGCTTAAAATTATTTAAATAAATTTTTGTATTAAATTGATTTTATAACAAAATATTATATTCGTAAAAAAAATGTAACAATTATTTTTACAATTAATTAATATTTTGTTAGTTTATCATGAATTGTGCTTTCAAAGACAAAGATACTTTGTCATAAAATTTTTCCATTACTCTATTTGCACCAGTATTTTATCAACTAAAATAATTTTATAGAGATCAAAATGTTTTATAGAAGGCACTTTATATATGTATTATAAACATAAGAGAAGTGCCAATAAATAAAGATAATGATCGCTCTAATATCTTTTACACATTTTTTATACATATCTATAAAAGAGCAATACATTATCATTAAGATTGTTATATTTTTAAAAATGGATTTGTATTTCAATGGATATATCATTATATTATTTCAGTTTTTCGACTGCTTAAACTTTTCTTTATCAATGCCCAATCTTCAAGAATATCTGCATCATTAAGCATGTAAACAATATAAGGTCCTGCAACAGAAACAGCTCTTCTTCTTTCAGTATGATTTCTGCGTCTTCTACCATTAGAATTTAACCATAAATCTGCATGAATATCAACATTATTTCTATCTTCTTCTAATCTACGAATTTTTTCTTGTAAATCATTATGAATGCAATCCCAAATTAATTCTTTTTCACTTTCAAAATTTTGCAATGCAGCTTGTTCTTCTGCTAAAAATTTATTCTGTATATTTTGTAATCTATATTGTTTTAATATCCCAGCTACTTCTGTTTTGGTTTTCATATTTTCTTTTAATCGTTCCAATGGTATTAAATATTCTTCAGATTTTCCAACTCGAACTTCACCTAATTTTGTATCTACTTGAGTAATTCTTTCACGATAAAGCCTAAAATTATTTTTAAAAGTTATATATATTAAATTTGTAGCAATTAAATTCTTTTTATAATTATATTTTTAAAAAATTGTATCATATGAAAATATTTACTGCTCTTTAAGAAGTGTAAATTGTCTTTCTAAATCTACTAAGTTTTCCATACATTCATTACGTCGTCTTTCACATTCATCTTCATCCATTTCTGAAGAATCATCACTATCACTGTGTTCTGCACTACTATCGCATGATGCAGAACTTTGATTACTTTCATTGCTATCATGAGACATTTCTTCTCCTTCTGCTTCAGATTCATCTTTAACACTTGGCATCTGTCTAGATATTACACTCACTTATAAGAATAAGTAACAAAAAAAATGATTATATGCTAAAAATATATACATAAATATATAAGTATAAAAATTTTTAAATTATATTTTAAATTAAAATATATTTTTTGAAGATATTATATGTAAAATTTATATTATGATATATCATAACCTCTAATATTTTGTTTTATTATTCAATAAATTTTTATTTGAATATTAATAACATTAAATTAATAATTATAAATTAATATCAATCAATAATAACAATATGTTATAGATATAATAATGATATTTTATAGTAAAATTTTCCGGAAAATTCCTTTAAATTATTGTACCTTGAATTATTTAATATTTTTGATAGAAAATTATATTTTTATATATTATATTAAAAATTATACTCACTCTTAAATAATTTTTTCTTATATTTTTCTTTTTAAAATAATATTATAAAATGACTATTAATACGAAAATAAAATAACAGTATTTGTCACTTTACTTGAAATCAACCATTTGTATTTCATCACTTAACGTGCGGGATTATCAATGAGCATGCGCCATGAAATTTTCAATAATTCTTTGCTAGAAATGAAAATCTCATTATGATAATTGAAATTTTGAAATTTCGAAATCATTTGATAAAAAAATTTTGATTTTTTGATCCTTGAACCTTTCTACTAATTTTATAATTCGAAACTTTCAAAATCTAGATAAAAAATAATTTATGAAAATAACTTACTTAACTTAAAAATCAAATCATATATCTAATTTATAATAATAATAATTGGTCGATTTGAAATAAATTGTTTACTTTAGAATTATATATAAAGAAAAAAAAAAGAAAGAAAATTATATATAAAGAAAAAATAAAATATAATAAAATTAATTTTTTGTAAGTTAAAAAACTTCTATTGATTAATTAACATTAAGTTTTTTTCATCTTACTATCTTTGTTATTTATGTAACTAACTATGTTGTATAAATTTCATGTGAATATAAATATACGGATTCTTAATTTTTTATTAATAATAAATTCTTTATAATTCATTTATATACATTATTCACGCACAATGCACGTAGATTACATATAAAATTCACTATATTAATCTATCTTCAGTTTTCTTTATAATCAATATGATAAATTTCATTATACTGCGGATTAAAAAAATTAAAAATAAATGTATTTTGTTGTATTGATAATAATATTATATGACAAATTTGAGCATTTTTTAAAGAAACAAATTAAATTTTATAACTAGAAAAGAGATTTTAAAAGTTTTGAATTATTTTTCTATAAAATACTAAATTTGAATCACTTCAAATTTGATTTAAAACTTAAAAATTTTTAAAAATCTTAATAAGATGAAATTTTATTTTCCCGAAAAAAATTTGAAAGTTTTTTCAAATTGATAGAATTAGTGAATAGATTCCAAAAATCACTATTTTAACTTAAGAAATTCATATTAAAAATTTGAATAATATAAATATTTAAATATAATTCAATGTTACTACAATGTTCTAGTACTTTATAGTTTACAAACAACTAGATCAACTTCAAAAACTAGATTAATAAAACTAAAATAATTTTCAAATATTGAAAAAAAAATATAAACCAAATTTAATTTCAATAAATAAAAATTAGTAATTAATATTTCATTTAAAATACAAAACGACTAGAATAAAATTAAAAATTTATATTATCTACAATTTCAATAAATCGTTATAGGACATCTGTTTTTTATTATTATTTAAACAATATATTTCATCTGTAATCATTAATTCGTTTTATGAATATCAATAATATTTAAATATTTTTAAATATACATAATTTTAATCTTTTGTATTCCTATAATTAAAATTGTGATTTTTGAAATATATTTATTATACATTATATAAAAATATATTTGTTATACATTATATATTTGTTATACATTATATAAAAATATTCTATATAATATAATAATATTGCATATATTTTATATGATAATAATATTATTCTACTGCAAATATATCAACAGAAAAGTTGCAGATTTGATACAAAATCTATTGTATTTAATTATATTAATAAATTAATAGTAACAAAAATAATAAATAACAATAATAATAAATTAATAATAACAAAAATATAGCAAATTTAGCTTTTGATAAAAACTATTCCGATTTTATTCGTAATTAACGATAAATTGGCAGAAATTGAATAGAAAGTATACAATAATCTGACAGCAGAAAAATGCTGTAGATCTATTAAATGTAATCATTGAATAAAATGGTTGTATTTTTCATTCTTTGCTTATTACAAATATTTTTTATAATTGAAGAAATACACATAAATGAAATATTTTTATTTTTATTTTGATAATAAATATTTATTTTTTTTTAATGATATAAATTACAATTTACAAAATACATTTTAAAAAATTATATTTTACTTTATTTTAATAATAATGCATTAATAAATAATTAATTCATTAATATACAGGGATCATAATAAACATATCATAATAAAGTAGTATGTAAGTAATTATGTAATATTATAATTTTTTTTAATTAATATTATAATAAATTATAACTTTTTTTTAATTTTATAATTTTATAATCTTTAATAAATATTTCTTATAGATTTTAATCTATAAATCATTTTTTTCTAGAATTTCACAATTTTTGAAAAAATCATTTCAAAAAAAAATTATAATTTTTCAACATTCGAAATATTTTATATCTTTATAATAATTGTTATTTAGTTGCTCTTAATATGAAATAATTATGTAATATTCTTCTAAATAAAATGATGTAAGTAGTTATTAGATTACATATTATATTATAATATTATAATAATGATCAAAGATAAAAAACGTCAAAAATGTACTTATTTTAACTGATATTTTTTAATTTATTTAAAAAACTAGAAATCTAATTTCAAAAAAAATATAACTTCAGAAGAGATAAATCTGATAAATATAGAGCAGACTTTTCTATTAAAAAAAGTTGAGAGAAGCTATGATTATTTTTATTTTTAATATAAAGGTATAATATAAATAAATCGACAAAAGATAAAGTAACAATATATGATTAGTAAATATGGTAGTAAATAAAATAATGATAGTAATGATATACAATAATAATAAGGATTTCAATACCGATACAAAATCATCCATGTTATTTTACAGCTATTTGTACTTAGTTACTCCGTATATATCGATTTTAGAACCGTAGCAGACATGCGTTGACGTTTTATTATGGAATGCACACACAATTTTATTTTGCCGAGTTCAGTTTTATCACTTGAAAGAAACGATATGTGTCAAATAATTAAACGAAATAAATCTTCCTTGAAAAGTAAGTGTTCAAAATATTACGTTTCCACATTTTCGATGAACCTATCTTTCGAATTTTTCGAATTAAAGTTGCATTAATGTTCGCAATTTCTCTTTGTTAATATAAGTGAATAGTTTTCAACATAAATATTTTCTTATTGTATTTATTTAATTATTTCCTTCGAAAAAATATTTTTAGATGATTTGAAATGTATATTTTGTACTTTATATATGATTATTATTATATATCATTAATTATCTTTCATATGAAATAGATATATAATCTTTTGTTTAATTCAATTACAATTGGACTATATCCTATCCAATAGAGCCACGTTTATTAAACTTATATATAATACATATATCGAACAATATCAAGGTCTTTACGGAATTTTCCACGTTTCTTTACACCACGTATTCTTTATATTTTGCTTAAGATATTTGACATTTACTGGAATTTGTCCATTTATAACATAGGGATCTAAATAAACGTATCAGTACTTTAAAGTTATTCGTAACTTTTAAAGTTGAAGACGAAAATATGTAAAGTTAAATGATAAAATATATTTTACGCCGCATGAATAGAATTTTATGCTAAATATAATGTAGTTATTTTGATTATTTTCCGCGTTTTATTTATTATACAGTATTATCGCGTTTGCTATAATTCTTATAACGCTGATAATAGGTACATGAAAAATATTAGTAACGAAATTAGTACGTGCAAATATGACCACCATCATAGAAAATGTACAAATTCTACAAACTTTAACATCTCACACTAATGATGTAACTAGTGTTGATTTTGCTGGTGATTGCGTATTAGTAACTGGATCCGGGTAAGAAAGTTATAAAAAATTCATGATTTGTAAATATGTAGAAAAACTTTTTTCGAAATAAACGATCGATGAATCTTTCTATATTTTTTCAGAGACAAACGAGTTAGAGTTTGGCAATGGCGATCCGGCACAGGATACATAGAAGCATATTTTTCTCCATTGCAAGGACACAAGTATGGAGTTACATCTGTCAAAGTGAGTCCTCGATCAACGATGTTAGCTTCGGCCAGTATAGATGGTACAACGTTACTTTGGAATTTACGAGTAAGTTTTATTATATTCTATCTATTATCCGAAATTAAAATAAATTACGATTAATACTATTATTATGATATTATCATATTATCAAGATAGTATTAGATATAAATATCATGTATTTTCAGACGGGATCAAAAATTCATACCATGGTTCAAGTAGGTGGAGAAGCTGTGAGAGTTTGTAGATTTTCACCCGATTCAACGTTACTTGCAACTGCTGGAGATAATGGACAAGTTTGTCTTTGGGATTTGGTTCGACGCAATTTAGTTAGGCAAGAACCAGCATTGTAATCTTATATAATATAATATAAATTAATAGTAGTAAAAGTAGATAAATAATAGTAAAATTGATAACTTCATGAATTGAACATGTTCAAAAATTCAATCGTCAATTTTGTCAATTCGTATTTTCTTTACCGATCAACATTGTTACGATATTTATTTATTACGACCATATATAAATGAAATCTATCTCTATCGGTAATTTAGATGTTTTCAAAAACACGATGGTGCTGTACAAAGTGTATGTTTTTCACCCGATTCTACTTGGTTGATTACCACTTGTACATTTGGTGTCTTGAAATTATTCTCCACCGCCGATATCATCGACTCGTGCCTTTCCGATAATCAAACAATCACTGCTCTTGCCTGGGTAGATGATGCTCATGATCTAGGCGTTATTTCTTGTGATTTTTCGACTTCTCAAAAGATTATAAGTAATATATAAAAAATTTTTACAACACTCTTGTTTTAGAAAAATATAAATAATTAGATAAAGATCTCATGATATTAATATATTTATAATTTGATTAATATTTAGGTAACGATCCGCTCACGAAATTATATCAACTAGTTACTTGCGGTAATGACCATTGTGTAAAACTATGGGAAATAATTATAATACAATCGAAATGTGAAACTCAACCGTCCTCTGTCAATATAAATCTCTGCAGAATCATGGAAAAACACAGCAGTGCTTTAACTTGTGTTTGTTTCAACGTAAACGGATTGTTCATTGCCAGCAGTAGTCTTGATAAAACAGCAGTGATTTGGGAAACGGTATAAAATATATACGTATATATATTTCATCTATTCTTTAAAATAATAAATCATGGAACTTGTGCAATTGTTGATGACATTATGAT